TAGCCAGTGGGAGCTGCACCTGAGGGTGGGGGGCGGGGCAGCACGCGGACCGCTCCCCTGGCAGCCCTAAGGATAGGAGCTGGACACACCGGCTGCTTCGTGACCCGGGAGCCACGTGGCTTGCGGTGTGGTGGCTAGCAGGGAGCCTGTCATCCCCGCACGAACCGGACATTTAACAGTCCAGTCAGTGGTGCTGACTGGAGCTGCCAGGATCCCTTTTGGACCAAAACCGGACACCTGATCACCCTATTCCAAGGTGGCTGCTCCAGCGAGGCCTCTCTAGGCAGGCCTGCAGGGCACAGTTTTGCTGCTTTTCTCCCACTTTGCTGCTTCCTGAGGCTGGTTGTAGTAGAGCAACAGGGCCTCCAGCAGGGGCCATGAAGGCCTGGTACACTCTGCCACACTCACGGTATCAGTTCCCTGCTGTTGCAAATACCTTGGGCATTTGGTGGCACCCTGGTCTTTCCTGTCATGTGCACATGGTATGCAACAGTTTAGTCCCCAGAGGACTGAAATACTTTAATCTAACTAAAGTCACTGAGGTGAAATATTGAATGGCTTTTGATATACAAGAGGATAGACTAGATGAGCTCATGATCCACTTGGCTTTACCCCATGAAATGTATGAAAAAATCTATATTTATTTTATTATTTGCCAATAAAATAGGGTGACAACACATAGATAATTAAAGTGGAAAGTTTCTAGAATATGTTGTAATTTGCATCTGTCCAGTTTATCTTCTGAGACTGAATACCTTCTCCCTCCTCCCTGTTAACCATTGTCATGTATATCAAGTTGATTGTTGTTCACAAAATGTGAACCCCACCTTCCTTCAACAAAAATCAGTTTACCTCTAGTATATCTAACTTGCATTTTAGTCTGTGGTTCTGTTTTGAATTAACCAATTTGTCATCTGCTTAAAAAAAAAAAGTTGGTTTTAGATTTTAGAATCTGTATGCTTTTATTAGTGATTCTTAGGATACAAAATCCAGTTGCTTCTGTAGGGACAAGGAGCACGACTCCCAGGATATAGTTGTTGTGTCCTTCAGGTGGGATTTCAGCCTGCTGTACCTGTTTCCATTGTGGCACTCCGTAGGTGTTCCAGAAGAGAACTAGGTCCACAGGGAACTTGATTCTGATCACTCTGAGCTAGCCAAAATATACAAGCCTGGTGAATCTGGTTGTGGAACTTCAGTTCTGGCTTCTTGTGACAAAAGATCTCCTGACACAGGTCCCTATCACCTGTGACAATATATCTAATTTCAGGTATAGGGCACGGCTATTTGGAGAGCAAACTTCAGAAATAAAGGCCTTTGCATAAGGTCACTTCAAGGTTGTTCTCTTGGAATCAGTCTACTTTGGTGCAGCATTCAAGGGTTTGGGAAAGTGTCAGTTCTTGGTGTGATGTTCACTCTATAGTTTATATCCTTCCTGATATTCTCGAACTTTTTCGGGGTAGTCTGCCTCATAGGGATGAATGCCAGCTCACTGATTGTCCAATTACCAGTAACTGTGACCTCACAGGCCCACTTAGATAATGTGGCATTGGGGGCATGTTCCGGTTAAATCTGGGTTCTGTGGGGAATCTGAGGCTGGTTTTCAGTTCACCTGCCCCCCTATGACAATTGAACTCAGCTCTGAATGCTGTCACCAAATCACTATTCAAGCCATTATGAAGAACTCTCTGGCTTTTATCACTTAAGGTCCTGTTATTACTCGCAGCATGTTCATCCAAGTGAACTGGTAAGTTTAAAGTAATTTTCTTGAAGGGATGGAAGTGATTCATTTGGATGGAAATTAGAATTAAAAATGCACAAAAACATAATTCTAATATTGTTCATTAGTTAAAACTAAAGGTGCTGGATACATAAGAAGAAAGTGTATCAAATGTTTTTATTTAAAACTCATTTATTAAACAAAGGAAGTATTATCTTAGTGAATTGAACTTATTGTTTCTGGTCATGTCCTTCAAGATTTTACAGCAAGTAGAGCTCTTCCTCTCACACCTAGTGTTTATTCATAGAAAGAGGAAAAGAAGCTCTCCTGATTTTTCGTCTAATTGATTTTTCAACATTGAACTAGTCATTGAATTGAACTAGTTGAATAAACTGAAATGAAGATATCCTCATTTGCAGGTGCAGAGAAGGAGACTGCTGTCAAAAGTTGGTTTAGCACTTAATCTGATTCCAGGTGTTAAGCCAGTGACTTGTACCAGTTCTATTTTTTGACTTTTTTTAAAAAGGCTTTAACATTGGTTGTCATAATTTCAAATTTAATTTTAAATTGATTTAGTTTTGAAAAGAAAAATATATTTCATTTAAAGTTTAAAAAAAACTTAATTTGATTTTTCTGTAATCAAGTCTATTTTTATCCATGCTAGTGCTCAAGACATTGCTGTGTTTTTTGCGAAAGGCTTCCTGTTTTGTTCCATTTGAACCAAAATATAACTGTCCCTCTTTGTCCTAATCCTAAGGAACAGTAAGGAATGTTTGAATGTGATCAGTCTTAAGAATCATCTTTGTCTCAGAAGCTCAGATGCTTTTCATTCTGCATCAAGGTTCTAAGAAAGGACAAACAGCACGCAAGTCTACCCGGTATAATTGGATAACACATCCTCTCATGGAGGCGTATTTCTGTAAGAAGTGTCTGAAGCATTCAAGTCTGTCTTTATGGAATTATTGGATTTATCATGGGAAGAGTGCATACGCAGCTCTGCTGGCAATTTGTAAAGCAACCATTGCATCATGTCACATTTTTCAAATACTGTATTAGAGTGGATGTATAGCTTCAGTAGATGCAGCATTCAGAGGGAGAATACTGCAGGCCACCGTGGGTTGCTGGTGCCTCCGTTAGGGGTCTGGAATATGCTTTGGAAGGTCCCAAGTGTCAGAATTAGCATAGATGATCAAAAAGAAAATGGGGAATTTTTCTTGTTTGAACACTTTCTTTCTTCAGGACATTCGTGTCAGTTCATACTCTACTCTCTTCAGGCTAACATCACTCCATATAGTTTGTCTAAGATTAAATTTTTTTTTTTTTACTTTAAAAGTTAGCAATTTATCATAGAACTGTTCATAGAGGTGTTACCTGAGCTTATTGAGTGATGACCTCACCAAAAAGGTTTTATGTACTGTCTCCATCTGCTGCAAGTATCTGAACTTGGCAGAAGATCTTGAAAGAATATTATTCAGGCAAAGAAAATTTTCCATTAAGATTCTTCTGTTCAGGTTCAGTGTAGTATTCTGACTGAAATTTCTGTGGAACTGTGAAATGAATGGAGCTATGTAGGACTTTGACTGGAATATTGAAGTTGTTAATAAATATTTAATACAAACACGTGTTCACTTACTTTATTATGCTCCTTCAAAAGTTAGTTTGCTGCAGTGCAGTTAGTTCTGTTGTGTGGGGAAGTGGAGGGGGAAAGAAGGGGTTGATAGTGGGGAGAAGGTGAGAGAGCATAAGTCCTTCTGTTACTGGAGGGAAGGTTTGACAGCCAGAAGGATTTGTTTTTGCTAGACTGGAGTAGGATGGAAGCATCCCCTTGCACAGACCCCACACACCCAAAAGTATTTTCTTATAGCTGGGCAATGTTCTGCAGTTCTTTCTTTCTTTCTCTCTCTTTCTTTCTTTCTTTCTCTCTCTTTCTTTCTCTTTCTTTCTTTCTTTCTTTCTTTTTACAGTAAGTAGAGATGGTTTGTAGGTTTCTTAATCCCTCTTTCTTTTGTTTTCACTACTGTGGTGAAATAAGACCTATTTTGATGCAAGGCTAATGGGTCCAAAATTGAGCCTGATCTAAGAGTAGTTTTTAAAAAATGCGTATCAGGTCTTGTGAGAGGTGGGGAAAGTTCCTCAAAATGTAATTTAGCTCCAGTCTTGATTACTTAAATATTTTTGCTGGGCAAATTGCCAACATCAAGATTTTGATTGAGTACATGCACATCTCTGCAAATGGCCTGTCAAGGCTGTATCCCCACTTTGAACTTTAGGGTACAAATGTAGGGGCCTGCATGAAAACTTCTAAGCTTAACTATCAGCTTAGGTCTGGTCTGCTGCCACCATCCCAATGGATTCCCTCCCCTGGGAAGCCTTGAGAAACCTTTCACCAATTCCTTGGTGAATACAGATCCAAACCCCTTGGATCTAAAACAAGGAAAAAATCAATCGGGTTCTTAAAAAGAAGGTTTTTAATTAAAGA